TAGTGTGTTGTAAGCCGCCCAGAGCCCCCCATTGTGGGGAGATGGGCGGGGGCAAGTTAAATAAATAAAATAAAATAAAAATAAACTGAAAATAGTTGAATTTCTGCAAACTATAATACCTGATACCTACAGATCATACAATACACTATCACAGTATTGGACATGCCTGGATTTGGCTTTTCTTGGAAATATTTTGGCATTTTTGCTGGCATGATATGTAGTAGAATATCCAGAGTCTTAGAAGTGTTTCTGGAAGTGTTTCTTTTACTGAAATTCAGTATTTTTATCCATTATGTTAATGGATGCTAAACTGATAACTGATACATTCACTGATACTGAGAAGCAATTCACTGATGTTTTTTTGGACACTTCCTTGAAAATAAACTTTCTGGCAGTATCTTTCCCTGAATTTTGGATTAGTGTGCAAAATGAGTACCACGAATTAAGAAAGAAAGCTACAAACATATTGATTCCATTTAGAACAGTTAGTCAGGTTTTTCTACAGTTTTAGTTATAAAGAATAAATACAAATCAAAAGTAAATGTGAAATGAGAATTGAAAGTAGCTATCTTGAAAGTTAAACCTGGATTCCAGGAATTATAGAAAAGTCAGCAAGCTTCCCGTTAAAAATATCTAATTTAATTTCCAATGAAATGGTATTCTTTTATAAAGTTGTAAGGGCTGTCATTGTTTTATTTGACAAATACATTAACATTTAATGATTAACACCGATATATTTGCTTCTTTCCCACTTTAATCCCAATGAAATCATTTGTTTTAATCTTTGGGGTAGGGGATTTGAACAAATTCAATTATTATTCTAGAGGGTCACAGTATCACATAGCCTGAGAACTCCAGGCATTTATTGGGTTTAGAAGGCTGCCCAAATGGAGTCTTTTTCTGCATTTATTTGGGGACCAGTAAAGATTCTAGGCAGCAAGTACATAGTTATGTTCTTCCTCTCATACTAATGAAAATAGCAACTTCTACGATATTTTGACTGGGTATACAAACTGGCTAAAATGTGTTAAAATGGATCCAGCCAATTTAAGAAACTAACCAGAATTCTGTATGTCCATGAACATTTATACTCCTCCCTTGTAAGCACTGTATTTTTTTTACTATCAATATTCATCCCATAATATTAGCTGATTGCATTTCTATTTTTCTTAGAATGAAATATTTCCAAACTTACACTGTAAGATGCTGTTTCCATTTTGGACTATTGGTATTGTTGCATTTTTCTGTCTTCTTTGACTGTCCATCGACTGAAACTTCTACATATGGGCTGGGTCCAAACCACTTGTTTTTGTTTTCTTTCAACTTTGCAGAAATAACTTGAAAAATAAGAGTGCAACATGGTCAAAAAATGACCTATGGACAGTGCAAAGTATCATAAAAAAGAATGTTTTATTCAGATGCCACATTAATGTTTCATATTATTCAGTTTATTTAAATCAAAGAATGAAGCATTTACTAAAGCAGCAGCATATCAAACCATTTAATTATTTGAAAGAGATTTGAAAAATGACCTATATTTAAAACAGGTAGCAGTATCATAATCCAGAGATGAATTCTAAATAAAGTATAAATACTTTATTTAGAATGGAGATTATTTTACAGCTTCTGAAGCCTTCATGTTACTTGAATAAGCTAAATGTGAGAATGAATGTACACCCCCCCCCCACATATATATAGTTTCTCACATTTACAGATTGCTTATTAGCCAAAATCATATTGTGAATAGAACAATTCTGATTCTGTATGTAGCTCTTATGGAGTTTCTGAAGAATACCTATTTTCATTTAAAAATTGTTCTATGCTTATTTTTAGATGTTTAGAAATGTAAATTTAAGTGTAAAACAAATTCAAAAACCTGCTTTATATGTATAAAAGTACATGTGTCCTTTGGTTGTAAGGTACCATCCATATCTATCATTTTCATAGTGATATCAATACCCATACATGTAATGTGAAAAAGTAAGTACACCCCACTGAAATTTTGTACTTTTTCAAGATATTTCAACATACAGATATTTGATCTTCATTTCAACAATACCGATAGATAAAAGGTATATAATACAATAAATACCATGCACCATTTACATTTCATAGTCCATGGTGTAATTTAAATAAACATAAATGCATTTTTTCATGTGGAAAAAGTAAGTACATTGCTTTATTTATCATTATCTCAAGTACAGATCAGGTGCACATCACATGGAGATGTCAAAGAACTGCTAACTTGCCCAGGCCAAGCTGTCCCAGCAAGTTCAGCTGAAGAAGAGAATGCAAACTGCTGAAAGAAGTCTCTTTGAGAGCATCACTGACCACATGACCTACAGGTAGCTCTCACCACTACTGATGTCACAGGGCTTGAGTCTACCATTAGAAAGGACCTGCACAAACTAGATCTACATGGGAGGTGTGCCAGGAGGAAACCTTTGCTATCCAGAAAGAACACCAGGGTAAGATTAACGTTTGCTCATGAACACCTAGGCAAAGGCCAGGACTTCCAGAACAATGTGTTCTGGACAGATGAGGCAAAGATAGAGTTATTTGGCCAAATTACCAGAAAAAAATGTTTGATGAAAACAGCATTTCACCAGAAGAACCCCGTACCAACTGTAAAGCATGGTGGTGGAAATGTTATCATTTGGGGCTGTTTTGCTGCATCAGGGCCTGGGCAGCTCATGATCACAGAATCCACTATGAATTATTCGTTGTAGAGGGTGCTTGAAGATAATGTGAGACTATCTGTTAGAAGACTGAAGCTCAACCAAAAGTGGACCTTACTACAGTACATGGCAATGATCCTAAACATTCCAGTAAATCCACCAAGGAATGTCTGGGAAAAAAAAAGAAATGGAGAGTTCTGGAATGACTAAGTCAAAGCCTGGATCTAAATCCCATTGAGATGCTGTGCAGTGATTTGACACAAGTTGTGCATGCAAGAAACCCTTCAAACATTACACACTGAAAAAATTCTATTCAGAGAAGTGGGAAAAAATTCCTCCCAGTCGATGTCAGAGACTGGTTGACAGGTATAAGAAACTCCTACTAGGGTGTATTTACTTTTTCACATGACTGTACATAACATATCAAAAATGATAGTGACAGAATTAATCTAACAGTTAACATTCCCTGTAACCATTTCATTTTGATATTAACATCACTATATGAGATCAATTTGATTAAAAAAAGTGTCAGGTCTCTCACTTCAATTACAAAAATGCAAGAGAACATTCGTTTTTGTCATCCCAACCTAATTTAAAAGACTAATGCTAAGTAGCGATCTAGGCCAAGTGGGAAGAAAATGGGCTGAGATTAAGACTCAATGTAGCATAACTTTCTTTTTAGAAATTTTATGCCATTTATTCATTTGTTCATTTGTTTAAATTTGCATAGCTGCCCAATCTCAGATTTGTGATTCTGGGCAGCTCACACAATTAAAACAACAAGAAACCATAAACAAAATAAAAATAAAACAGAAAATATATATATAATCATTAAACACCAGATTAAACCATAAAAAACATACTTGGGGGAAAGTAGAATTCATGCATCACAATCAATACAGGCAGTCCTCATTTAGTGACCACAACTGGGACCAACAACTTGGTCATTAAGCAAAACAATCACTAAGTGAAACATCATGATTTTACAATCTTACTTCAGCTTTCCTTTGCTTTACAGACCTGTAAAGGTCATAAATACAAGGAGTGGCTGCAAAATTACTTTTTTATCACTGTTTTCATTATGAACGGTCACTAAATGAGGCAATCACTAAACAAGGACTACATATACAGCCATCTAGTGGACTCCACACCACTGCCAGATCCTCAAGCAGGACGGCATAGCCATATCTTCAGAGCCTTCTGAAAGGCTAGTAGGGATATGGTAAAATACCTCTCGCTTTCTGCCCATATGTACCCAGCATCATGTTACCAAACATATTCATATTCTTTATCAGCAAAGCCTCTTTAAGAGGGTTACAATGTATGCAGTGCACTGGGCCCTAGTGCACAGTAGAAAGCTATAGGGTTAACTGGTGAACAAGGGCACAAAAGCAAGGAGGCTATATCCATCCTCCATCACTCTATCCCCAAGAGAATGCCTTGCATTCACTCAGGCTGACAAGTTTTCCAGAGGTTTATCCATAGGCTAGCAGAGTTAGCCAATGGACAAGTTGATAGTGTTGAGTGGCCTAGACTACCCATTAGCTAATGCAGCTCTGTAGGTCATCACGTAGATCAGGCCAACAAAGTCATACTCCTAAGTAGGATTTTAATGCAAGATAACTTCTGTATCTGGTATGTTTCTCCTAGATACTTTAATTTTTTTTTTTAATTTTGGAATTCCAATCTGAGTACATAGGTTTTTTTAATCACCTCAGAAATCCATCTATTATGTTAAGATAGAGGAGCACTCCATAGTGTTGTACTGCACCTCCAAATTCCTTAAACCAGCCCTATGTATGAGCTTCTTTCACTTGATCCAAACCTCTCCATGGTTTTGCCCCTCTATTCCATTTTTAGATAACACATCTCTTCATTTAACATTTACTTATTTATTTATCATATTTATACCCAATGCAATCACAAAACACTCATCTAATTGAAGGTTTCCTGCTTCCTGAAACAACTCTACTTTTTTTTTCTCTTGCTGTCCCTTATATGCCTGGACTTGGTTTACAGAATGTCATGTAAACACTTCCTTTGCTTTCTGGAACCCTTATTTTTCCATGTTTTTGAACAACTACCAAATGCCAATGGCTCCTAAAGATTAATATTAGTGCATAATCTTTCTATTTATTTCTGCCTCTCCATCATTCCCCTTTCCCTATTGCTTTCCTGTTTATTTTAAATAATATATTGTAAATCCCAGGATATAGAAAACTATCAAACTAGTTAACAGTAATATTACAGCTATGTTGTTTAGGTAATTATAGAAGAGATTTAGAGATAAAAGGTCTCATGAAGATCAATGCGGGTTTTTACCTAAAGGATAATTACAAGGCAATATTAGAAATGTGTTCAATATTCTGGAGTATTTGGAGCAACACAATGAAAAACAAGCTGCACTGATCTTACATGCAAAGAAAACATTTGATAATTTGAACTAGATTTTCTTGTTTAGAGTTCTGGAACATATGAATCTTGGAGATAATTTTATTTAATGGGTAAGATTGATTTATATTTCACAGAAAGCGCAAATAATTGTAAATGGAGAACTAACAAAACCTTGTGAGATTCAAAAAGGGACAAGACAAGAATGGCCGTTGTCTCCACTCTTGTTTATTTTAGTTCTTGAGGTACTGAACAGAGACATAAGACAAGATAAGAGAATCGTGGGAGTTAAGATTAAAAAAGAACCTTATAAGTTAAGGGCATTTGCAGATGACCTGGGGATAGTTTTGGAGGATCCCTTAGAGAGAGTAGAAACATTAATGGGAAAATTAAAGGACTTTGGTATGTTAGCAGATTTTAAAATTAATAACCAGAAGACAAAGATGTTAACAAAAAATATGAAAGTAGAAGATCAAATAGAACTGATGGAGAAAACTGCTTTTAAGACTGAGAAAAAGGTAAAATATTTGGGCATTGTTATGACAAATATGAATTTGTATGTTATTTCAAAATAATTATGTTAAGACATGGAATGAAATTAAGAAGGACATGT